GTCATTTCAAGGTCTCGTTGCGCCATCGGGTTGAATTTCGGCGATGGATTGCCCTTGAAGTGCGCCACATCATGATAGGAACTCTAACGCCAAGGTCATCAACTTCAAACGGCATTGCTTACGGTCCAGATAGTGGCTGAGATGAAAGGTAGTCGGAAATTATTTCAGCGGGAATATCGGTAAACATCAAAGTTCGGTATAGGTAAAAGTATCCCCTACTGAAAAACACCTCGGGGTGGCCTTGGTACCCAGGATTGCTTGGCGACGGGATTTCAAACAATTAACGACAGCCCTTCGGAAATGGCGTTTAATGGAAAGCGATGAAAAAATGATCCATGGACAACATTGCGTACGGAATCGGCCTTGGCCATCAGTCGGAAGTTTAAGAAAATTATGGAAAATTGGAATTTCAGGTATTGCGGAAATCCTGGGTTGAATAATTTTATAGGGTTAAAATAAAAAGAGACAATTTTTCGCCTTGCTAGACCAAAAAGAAGATTCATGGGAGATATCCGTTGAAGGTATAGGTATCGATCAGTCCCTTTTCAAAGTCCTATCCAAGGCAGTAAGCTCTACCTAAGCACCGGTTGCCAAGAAGCCGACTTTTTTGGCCTGGTTGCACCCCTACCCGGCAAACTACTGGATTGCCAGAAAGTACTCAGGAGCTCTCAAAGAGACGAAACTTATATTCCCTTCTATTTTTCTTACCCGAAGGAGTCATGACCAATGCTGACTTCTGTAAGTGGATGTGTACGCCCTATATTTATTCAAAACACCGTTATGGTCTTGAATCGAGGTCGAGTGCAGGGCGCGTCCTCGAAAAGAAATAATTTAACTCTAGACACTTTGTCTTCTCTAATTTTCACTTACTTCCAATTGTGAAGATCAAATAATTCATTTAAATGAATAGAATCTACGGTTTACAATGAAGAATTCTGTTTGGTAAGAGCGATTCAATAGAGTGCTGGAGAGGATTCCCTCGTAGCGCTAATGAAGCTGTTCCTATTCGTACGTGTTCGACGGCGATAAGCCGAACCGGTTCGTACTTCTTCAAATCTTCATGTAATCGTATGGATTTTATTAGTCTGTTATTCCCATATTGTCACGAATCAAGCAGGCGGAGTATCCCGGACGCAGCGCGGCTTCAACAGGTTTCTTGGCAGCTACTAAATGAATATATTCTCAAGAAACGTACTTCACGGATGAGTTCCTCACTGGACCGGTCCATACTGGAATTCTTTTCGTGTGGAACGTTTTTGAATACGTTGTCTTCCTAACCATCAGATAGAGTTGACTGTGACCAGATGGCAACACAAAGGCAATCTATCCAGCCCCCCGTCGTCGGCATTTCACCCAGGGTTGTGACTTGACAATAAATAGGTTTCTTGCTAGATAAACAACGTTTTTCAACTGGAATTCTATTTCAATGAGAAATAGAGGGTTTTAGACATTTTGTAGGCTCGAGATCAGCCATGCCCATAGATTCCATGAAAAATTGCAGGCTTACAAACCCTTCCCAAAGGGTTTTCAAGTCGTAGGTGTCTGTAGGCTTCCAAAACCCTTGCTAGAGGGTTTCTAGGCTAGTGGTGTTGTTCTGAAGCTGAATACCACTCATCCTGCTCGATGTATAGACGTTCATAAAAATACTTGATTTCTGACTGTTTTTCCGCGAATGCGCCATGCATCCACTTTCTCCGCGAGAACTAAGGTAGTGATCAAATGGTTGTGTAGCATTCATCACATCCATGGATCGCTGTTGGTCATCTAAATGTTTCTCTTTCTACAAGGAAGGGTTCACCGCTTGGAAACTTTCGTGCAAAAATGGGTTCATGCAAGAAGGGCAGGGCTGGAACTGATCTTATTGATCGCTTAATTTTTGACCGGAACCTTCATGTAGTGGCACTATACGCGATGACTGATTACTCCGGCATTCATCGTTAAAAGTTGTTTTATTGTAAAATTCTCTCCGACCAATCTTTTCCATTTCCCAATCTACATATGTGCACTTAGTCTTGTTCAAAACCCCTTCCTGATAGTTGTCTCAGCTCCGCCCCTTTCCTTTTCGGAAGTTTGCATAGTGAAATTGAAATTCCAATCGCAAAGGAATTCGTTTACAGTTCCCGGTTCCCGAGTTTGAGAAGTAGTAATGCTGTAAGTAGAATGGAATTTGTTAGAGGTGGCAGGTCCCTTCGTTACTTCCAAGACTTCTCCCGGCATAACACAGGAATAACCGTAAAATCCCTTGAAGTGACCATTGTGAGGCTGGCAATGTGAAGTTGAGTGAGTTTGGTGTACTGCGGTTAGCGAAAGCAGCCCAAAACACCAATTACGGCAGTGGAGTGACGACCAAAACACTTAAGAAGCTGCATACGACCCAATAAACACGGGGGGGGGGGGGGGGGGGGGACAGGGAAGAGGGGGGGGGAAAAACAC